TACCCATCATGACACCTATGAGTTTCATACAGTGATTTATATTACACCACACCATTACACCTCATGTAAACCCAAATAGGGTATAGAATTAAAATAGATTAACTTCATAGTATAAACATGATCCTCTACTAGTCAGAGTAAATGCATAATGTGTGGTCCAACAAGGTTTTTGAGATGTCAGCCAATTTAGGTAATCACCACAAACTACAATAACTCTCAACACACAAGAGTGTTGAACAGAGTGATCCAGGGCAAATACTTAAAACTACAGTATAAAACTATAACTTATGTCACACAAAGAGTGTTTTCTAGAAATCTAAATAAAGTCCTAAATTATTTTCAAACCTTTTCCTTTACTTTAATTACTAACTTGTCATCATGACCATACACACAGACCATTGCTCCTGAATTGATACCACCATGCACTGTTTTCCCTGTATATTTCGGTACTACTATTTTAGGATCACACACTTCACTAACGTTTTAGGTCTCTTGACAGAACAGGAAGTACAAGAATATTGAGCAACTGAGGAGGTAAAAGTTGCATTAGTTCTGTGGAAAAAAAGGAGGAAATACGCAAGCTGCTAAAAAGCAGAAGGGTTTTTGGAACTCCTCTTTTGTCTTCATTGTTTTTTCAGCTTAAAGAAGTTATGATTAAAGTTAGGCACCAGATAGAGTTGAGAGGATGGAACACTCTCGGATTTTCCTATTATTGTGTAAGTGAATGTATACATTTGAAAATAGAAAGACAAAAAATACACTTTTCTAAATAAGGCTGCATCTGCTCTGTTTAAAAAAAGCTATATTGGGAGTAGCCTGTTTAGTATCATTTTAGAATTTTTTAAAGAGCAGTTTGTCTTTAATTAAAAAAAATGTAATTCTTCTCAACTCTTTTTCTCACTTTTTCTTAAATATCTCTTTAATGTAGTATTTATCTCAGTCATAAGTGGATACGCTGATGGTAAGACATATTTCTCTGCTTATATTTTTCGCAAAAGTTGTTGTTTAAAATGTATGTAATTGTTTTTAACATCTCTTGATAAATTGTCAGTGGAAATGATAAAGTCTCCAGCTCTGTAGAGCAGTTATTCATAGCTAAACCAAGGAGTGGATTTTAAAAAGCATAAGCTGTCTTCCCACAGTCACTGGTTTATCTTTTTACCCCATATGATAATGTTTTAGATGGTAGGCGTCACCATGAAAAGTAAAATTATATAATTCAAACATTGGTCCAGTAAATTGGTAGACATGATTTATTTCAATATCTCTTGGCTTATTTATGCATTTAAAAAATGGGTGAAGTCTACCTTTTAGTTGGGGTTCTATAACACATGCACATAGCAGTGATGGACAGTCCATTGTAATAAGTTGAAACGTTTGCAGTAATGTGTAATAATGTCCATGCATATAGAGCAAATCGATAGTAAAACAAACAGGAAGTATTCTCTATGGGAAATCTGGCTCATTGTGAGCATCTGTCTCTTGTGACCAACCAGGGGCTTGAGAAAAGAACAACACAGAAATACTCTAGTTTAACTTTTTCCAATAGTGTTTTCATTATAAAGAGAAAGTAAAGAGTTAACAGCACCAACAACTACAGATAATGCGCAATGGGTATAATGGGAGAAAATGGTAAAAACAAATTGGTCATTATGCCCCTCAGCATAGCACATAACTACTTGTATAGCTATAGGCCAGTCTAATTGTATGTTTTATCAAACATCTGGTTGTATGTCTAGGAAAAATCTATCAAGCTAATAAATAACTGGCATTTTATCACATTTTAGCTTTATGCATTTTCCCTTCACCTGCAGAAGTTTAGAAAAAAATTAAAAATCAAGCTGAGGTGGGTAGAGTACCCAAAAATGGTACTAAAGTAAGAGTAGCACTACATTAACAATGTATTTACTCAAGTAGAAGTAAAAAGTAGTCATCCAAGAAATTACTCAAAAAAAAAAAAAAAAAAAAAGTATTTGGTAAAAAGGCTACTTGAGTTCTGAGTAACTGTTGGAGAATAACATCAGATTTAATGTTTAGAAATGATGCTGGCATTTTATGTGCAGGTTCTGGCATTTTGAAGACTCAAATATCTAAAGAATAAATAATAAAACTAATGAATATACAGTAAGAAATTCTTGCAGTAGCAGTTCAAACTTAGAAAACCAACCCTTTCAAAGCAAATATACTGTACTGGGATAAGGTAACAAAATTCCACTGTTAATATCTACAATTAAGTTCATGTTTACCTGATCTTGGAATAGTTCAAATTACTCACGGGAGGACAGAGAGATTTTACTCATGTAGGAGTAGCGACACTTGACAAGAATATTACTCAGGTAAAAGTAAGAAGTAAGGCACAGTAAAACTTTTCTTAAAATAAAAGTATTTTCAAATTATTTCTCAAGTAAATGTATCTGAGTAAATGTAACTAATTACTATCGAACTCTGCTCTCAACAGCTAGGACTAAAATTGTAAATAATTAAGTAATAGTTGTGTCAATATTTTACCAACTTTTTGGTTAACTGTAAATCAAGTTGTAATCTACAGTATACAGGTAAAAAAGAAACAGAGTTGAGTTTAGTGTTGGCCTGGGACCTCTCTGTCGGTGGCTACCAAATGAAATTCTGTTTAGGGGTTTGTAGATGCTTAGGCCTGGCTCTGTACATCAAAATACATTTTTCTTTCAAGTTTATGTTTCTGCTGAACCACAGTAAGACCTATATGTTGTTTATGTGAACAGTTCCCATTAAATCCACTGTGATCCTGAACCCAAACTGGCCTCTTGTATACAAAGGTGAAAGTGTGATCCTCCAATGTGAGATCCATGCAAGTGGAGGATCTGAGTGGACATATGAATGGAGACCAAGCAGGTTAAATAAACTTTCAACAACGAGGCAATCCATTTATCTAACATTATTTAACAAGTCTTATAGTGGAGAATACAGCTGCAGAGGAGTAAGTGCTCACAGCAGCACAGACTGGAGTGATGCTATTGCATTAACTGTATGTAAGTTGGGCATTTTCTTTTATTAAATTGTATGTTGTTTGAGGTGATTTATACAAATATGGTTTTCTGACAATATTACGTGAAAACTTAATTTATCAGTGTTTGTCTTTTAGATCGTCCTACTTAACTATTTATTTAATTAATATAATTAATTGGATTTTTGAAAAAACAGTTTTTCATTGCCAAAAGTTATAAAAGATGGTTGGGTTCACACCCAGATTTTGTTTTTTTTTGTTGTTGTTTTTTGTTTATTTGCTTTTTGAACTGAGGTCTGTTTCAATTTTTTATGTATTTACATACAGTTTGTTTTTTTTGTTTTTTTGCTACAGTTGTATCATTTCAAAGAAAATCAAAAGACTCATTTTTCTTTTTGCTGATATTTAAAATGTTTGAGAAAATAAAATGTACATTCCAAATTAAGAATTGCAGAAACCTTGCCCAAAAAAAAGGAGATCTCAGAATCTTTTAACATGCTTTTACGTATATTAAAACTGTCTGGGTATAATTTGAGAGCTCCGCTTACACCGTCTCTGACTATGTTTCTTTAAACTGAAGAATTAACCTAACTTGCCTGTTTGAATAACAGGTTTTGCACTGGTCAGACTAATCAAATTTAATGACAGACACTTCCTCCAACAGATAAACTCTCTGTGTCTATATCATGGGTGAATCCTGGAGACTCTGTGACTCTGAGCTGTGAGGTTGAACATCCACCTACAGGAACAAAGTTCTTCTGGTATAAAGCTGTCCCCAAACTATCAGCACACTTCTACAGCTATGAGCTGCTGCCTGGCAGCTCCAATGGGACTGATGATAATTTCTACATTGTCCATGGACAGAATAACACAACAGGATATGTGTGTGAAGCAGGAAGAAGAGAAGTAAAATATAGAGATCCAACTTTTGTCTGGTCTGCAGGTTAGTTTTCCTCAGTGTCACCTCCAAGCAAGAAGAAAATGAATGGAAATAAATTCAATAAAACTAAAGAAATGATAATCTAATATCAGTGGGTTCATTGTCAAGACACAAAAGAAAGATAGTGTTTATTGCAAGATTTATTTTAAATAGGAAATTAAAAACAGCTCTAAAAAAACAGATTAAAAAGAAAATTTTCTCTGAGAACAAAAGGATTATGGTATAGAAGGAGGATAATTCATGGAGGACGAGCCCTGCCATAGTAAAAAAATACATACAGAAATAAATGAAAGACTTATTTTTTTAAAAGATGATTTTAGTTTTGTTTCATACAGATTTGTAATGACTGCAGTTTTTCCATTTTCCAAACAAACAAAACACATTGTTTAGGTTTTTGCTGAAGCTATGTTTGGGTAATTTGCGGCCCTGTTAATGTTGAACTTAACTCTCAAGGAAGAAAAAAAAGTTATATATTATATTTTTTTTATCATGTATTAAGCTTTGCTCTGTGCTTAGATGAAATGTCTTATTTATTTTCAGATCCTCATCCAACAGTGTCTCTTTCAGTGAGTCCTGACAGAGTTCAACACTTCAGATCTGACTCTGTGTCTCTAAGTTGTGAGGGAAACTCTACTAAATGGAGAGTGAGGAGGATTACAGAAACAGGCCACGTGTTAGATTGCTCCGTCTGGGGGATCATGAATGGATCCTGATGTACCATGAAGGGGATCTATTCTAATGATGGAGTGTACTGGTGTGAGTCTGAATCAGGAGAGTTCAGCAATGCTGTTAACATCACTGTACAGAGTAAGTAGTGATGTATAAAAGTCATTTAGTATTGCATTAATTTCAAACTTATGCAGAACTGAGTTTCAAATGCCCCTTAGGTTTTAAAGTTACTTAACAATACGTTATCTTTAATAAAAAATACCCTTTAACTTTTAGCCAAGCTAAATTGTTAAAATGTAAAAAAAATGGACATGCAAGATTGGTTATAAGTCACTATAAAACAATCATGTCTAAAATCCAATATTCACTCAATGTCTTGAAGATTTTCGTTATGACAGTCCTATCCTGGTGAGCCCCGTCCATCCTGTGACTGAGGGAGATCCTGTTACTCTGAGCTGCAGAGATAAAGAACAAAAACTTCTCTCCAATGTGTTTTTCTATCACAATAACAAACTGATCCACAATGACAGCAGAGAGGAGCTGAAGATCTCTGCAGTGTCAAAGTCAGATGAAGGTTTCTACAAGTGTGAACATTCAGGAAAGGAGTCACCACAGAGCTGGATGGCTGTTAGAGGTAAGGAGGATCAAAATATTTTATCATTCAATTAATATGAACAGTGAGAAATTTAAGTCAATTTCCTGCAGATTATTTTTAAAGTTCAAAACTAAAATCACAATTTACTCATACAATGAAAACCCTTTCCTTTTTTATTTAATATATACAGAAAATGTTTCCACTCCTGTCAGCTCTTTCTTCCATGTGATGCTGATCATTCGGTCAGTTGTTGGACCAGTAATTCTTCTCATTATTCTCCTATTATTGTGGCGCTGCAGATGCTCAAAAGGTGAGACCATTTTCGTCTTAAATTGATTGTTTATTTAAAACTCTTTAAATCATTTGGCACATAGATGCATTCTGATGTTTACTATTGGATAAGTTCTGATTGGATCATGTTATTGATATGTTATTATTGTTATTTTCTGTATTTGTTTAATGGAGGGTCATCTTGCTAATGAATGCTTAGGAAGGGGAAACTCAGCGGTTATAGTGTTCAGGATTTATATTTTCCTTAGGACACTTAGGAACCCCAGTTCAAACCTGGAACAAAGATGAATGGATAAATGTCAAGAGGGGCTATGAATAGATTTGTTGTGATAATTTACCTGTAGATTATGAATATACGATTAACTAGAACTGGGGTTGTAGTTTATCGATAAATCATTCAAAATCAAGGGTAAAACCAATTCAACATTCTCAGCTAAATAACTTTAACTGTAATCAGCTTACTTATCAGGATCGGCCTGTCACATTCCGGGTGGCTTCTAGAACAGCCATTAAAATTCAGTTATCCCAACCAATTTAGTGACTTAGGCTAGGCTATCAGCTAATAATTACCAACCAAAGAAATTTTGTGTCTATGTATTCAAATTTAACCAAAAGGATGGTGAATCTGGCCCTGAGTGATAAACCACTCGCTGTACAATAAACACAAACTCCTACAGGTTAGATAATAGTATGTCTTTATTTTTAGCAATCCGGGATTTTAAGGAAGCTGACATCTATGCAAACACTACACACTACTAGCAAAATACACATGAGGTAGACTACATGAATAAGTTGGAAAGAGGGGAAAAGGGGGGGTCTAAGATTCCATTTAAATGATTCCTGGGGAGTGTCCAAGGTAGGCAAAATCCCAGTACATTCGATAATGTCCATTCAAATTATTAAAACTAACATGTTAGCAGTGAATTAATGCGTCCGGGACCAGCCATTTTTGCCCAAGTATAATAACACCTCACTCCTTTACAAGCAAAATCAATGGGAAATACTAGACACACCTGCAATCAACAACAATTATTTAAGATTTCAAGAGGACTTGATCAACTGCCATGCCCACGTGCATGGCAGTTGGATGTTGTTATACATCAGGCACAAGTGAAAAAAAAAATTGCTATTTCATCTTTCCGATTCATGATTTACCGCGGATGGGTTCGTAGTTAGATTGCCTTCAAACCAGAGAAAATAATGCAGAAAAAATAACATTTCATAGAAGAATGTTTTCAAGATAACTTGGAGCACATTTAAACAAACACTAGATATAGCTGTTTTGATTTTATGTTCAATTCTATTCCCAGCCAGCTGGGAATTTATATTTCTGATACTTTAAGATGTTTATTGCTCTCCCCGGTAGGGGTGGTAAAATATCTTACTTAATCAGATATTGTTTTGGCTGTTATATACTGTTTATGACACACAGCCCTACTAGCTGTGTGTTAGAACAATAAATGAAAGAGTGATTTGAGCATTAATCATGGTTGAACAGTTAACTCTACACATACATGGAATAAATTCACCACAACTTCTGTTCAAAATATAAGAGTTTATTAACAAAAATCATTCAGCTCCACGTCAAACATATTCCAGTTTAACACTCTCAACCAAGACTAATAAAACTCAACTAAACTCAACTTAACTAAACTATTATGTACAAAGAGGAAGGGAAGCATGGTTGAAAACCATATTACAGTTTGAAATGGATTTTGTGCAATTCACCATGCAAATCCATGAGGTGAATAAAACATTATTTGGCCAAATACTGTTTTATTGAATGATTTGCTTAATCAAGAACCAATAAACTGTAGTTAAAGCTGAAGTCTGTAAGTTTTAAAAATCACTTTTTTGTCATATTGGCTAAAACTGTCCCTATGCCCAGACAGCAGTACATGTGATATGTAACCTGTGAAAAAAACTGCTTCAATTGGTCCCGCATACTGCCTGTATTTCAATCTGGAAAGAATAATTTGGGACAAGTCAAAACAACCAATCACAGCCAGAGGAGTGTCTGATGGAGTGTCAATCACAGCTCCCCCCCCCCCCCCCCCCCCCCCCCACTGCTTAACCTGCCGCAGCGCCCGGCTGCCGCAGTCAGGAGGACGCGCGTGGAAGTCATGGCTGAGCGACAGCCACCAGCGAAAGAGAAACTGCCCTTACTGCCCCTGCCAACACCTGCTTACACGGCAAACTTCGGTATAACCAGCATCTTATATCTAGCTGCTTGGAGGTGAGTGTTATCGCTCTTACCGGTTCACACTCCATGCCGCGTACGCTGCTTGAACGCTTGTGGTCGCATGCGGTAGCTGCACAGATGCTGTGAGAGGGGTGGAGCTTGGAGGTGGGGCATGAGTGAAGCAGAGAGGGTGGGGGAGTGGCGTGAAACCTGTTTTTCTTCAAATTTTCAGTCGAAATCTGCTCTCTTCTCAATGTTACAGACTGCAGCTTTAACACTAGAAATCCCACAGATACGAGAATTTTCGTCAGCCTCCAGTCCCCCCGCAGTACTTATCAACTCATGAATCCGTTTTCAGATGTAAATGCCCCATTAGCGCTGTGGCTGGAGAACCATTCCACCCCCTTCAGTTTCGGTTTCAGCTAAAGTGTCTCTCTTTGAGAGTGTTTTACCTGAAAGCAGGGGAGAAAAAATCATATTTGTAATTAAATATAACTACAGTAGGTCTACGTCATCAGTGTCACCAACACCGCAATGATTTCAGCGCAGCCACCAGCGCAGCGATCAGACGATAACTGATCTGTACAATGAAAATAGCTGCATGAGCTGGAACGCTGTAGAAAGCAACAATATTTATACAATAATGACCATTTATACAATAATGACCATTATTTATTTGTGGGGAAATATAACTCAAGCGATCTCTCCTCTCTCTCTCCTCCGCTGCAGAGGTGCAGACAGCATCGTGAGACTGCAAAAAAGTTTGCAATATATTCACAGATTAGCCTTTTTCGGATTAATAAGTCGTTTGCGGATGATTTCTTCTAAACAGACAACTCTCCACAACTAGAGCAAGGCAAACTGTGAGCTACATCCATAGTTTCCTAAAAAAACGTAGTTTCTCATTTTGTATACACAAGAGTAAAAAAAAAAAAATTTTGTTTAGAACAGCTCTAGACAATTTCATATTTTAAAGTGTAGCCTTGAAAACATTAATAAATACATTAAAAAATAGTTATATAAATAATGACTGTCACACCACTGTGACTTGCCATGTGTCTTGCCTGTGGAGGCTTTGCTGAAACAGAGGTTGTAGAGATTCCACAGCTGATTCCACATCATACATATTACTTCTGCATACAGCAACAACAATCCAGCAGTGTCCATATGAACTGTAAAACTCCCTGCATAATTATAATAAAGCAATTTATATACATGAAACAAGTGGAGCAGTATGGCAATTGCCATACCGCTACACTTGTGAAAGTAAAATCTGTTGGGCTCCTTTTGGCATCAAGACAATTATTCTTATTGCGACCTTGCCAGACAGGACACTGTAAAAAAAAATAAATAAATAAATAAATAAATAAATAAATAAATTCTAGCCACGAAAAGAATAAAAAGCAGTTCATGCAAATGCTACTACTACAACCACTACTACTAATGGTACTGGCCTGTTAGTACTGCCCTCTAAAAAAAGGGTGCCCCATTTGAAATTAATTGCTTCAAGTTGAGAACAAGTAACTGAATCAAGTTGATCTAACTAAGTTTATAAGTTTAAATTTTAATTCATTTACTTGCTATCAATTAAAATAATTAAATTGGAGCTGCATTTTCTTTTTAGAGTGTACTACTTCTACTTCTAGAAATATTTACAAAAAGTACTCCTGTTGCTATCTGTAATTATAACTTTATTATCATTATTGTTGTTGTATTATTATGCACAAAATACAGTACTAAGAAAACATAATTCAGTATCAACAGACTGATATCCAAGGACTTGTCAACATGTAGTTGACTTTGGCTTGTTATTATCCGTCTCTTTGATCTGTCATCAAATTTCCTAGGATGTTGGCTACAGTCCCATGGATTTTAAATTTCTGAATAATATTTGCAACCCTTATCATAGGAAAATGCTCCCTGGAGATGGTGTTTCAACATATAACATGCTTGTCAATATTTACCTTTCTAACCTCATGAAAGGACTTTTTCCTCTGGTCCATGTTGAGTGTGATACACACCATGTCACCAAACACTACAAGGACTAGCTGTATTTAACATGTAGTTGTTGCATTCGTGAGTAGTATTAACAGCTCCTTTCAGTACGAAGTTGTTTTTAACATTTCCTAGTTGGTTTTATTTTATTTTAAAGATTTAGAAATGTTCATGTTAAAGTAAAAAGTGCCTTTTCCTCTAGACTCCCAGTGGGAAAGTGTTGGACCGCTGGTGCATGGCCACTCCTAAAGAAGAGCTGCTTGCTCTTGGACAGTTCCTTCGCTTTGGAGAGACTCGCCCTATTGTGGAGTTAATGATGCTTCAGTACCCAGAAGGTGAAAAACTCCTCTCCTATCAGGAGTCAAAAACCCCAGTTAAAAATTTCCAGTCAGATATTCTACCGAATAAAGTCTCATCAGTGTTAAAAAGTTGTTCACTGGTCAAAGGAAAAGATACTTCAGAGTGCCATGGAGATGTCCAAGCAGGACAGTCATTGCTCTTACCTTTCCATTTTCCACAGTCAACTATCTACTGTTCAACCAAGGTAATGCAGTTCATGTATTTAGAAGTACGGTAATTACAGTGCCGATATTCTAAAATTCAACTGAACCTCTTTCTGCAGGACACACATACTACGTCTGACTTACAAAACATCCTGCAAGATTTTGGTGGGAATAAAATGCTTCAGAAACAGGACTGTAAAAGTTGTGGATGTGAGGAAGATGACGAGTTGGTCCTGAAGAGTACCGCACAGGAATCGGTTTTATCGACAAAAACAGGCAGAGACAAGTCAAACCCATCCTTGTGGCACGAGAACCCTATCTTCCATCACAATGAGGTTT